ATAGTTTTACTATTAGTAAAATCCCTACTATTTTTCCATCAATAAGATAAAAATTTGGTAGCATTACATAATTTATTGAGCAAAATAGGAAAATAATAATTAAAATCGTCGCTTTGCTAGGTAAAAAGTTAGAAATTTACTTAAAATCGTGTAATTATTTAATTTGATTAATTCGATTAATCAGTCAGGTTATATTATAGATATGTTTACGTCATTTTACAGCGCAACGATTTTATTTATTTTAGTATTTTGCACACGAAATTTCATTGAAATCGATGAGGAGATATTCTGCACATTTTTTCTACCTACCCAAGTTTTATATTTTTCACTTAACACTTCCTTTCATGAGGTGATCAAATTGAAATTAGATCCATAGATGATATAAAATCTTCTACGATTTAAATTGGCATCGATTGGATAAGATAAAATCCAATTTCACTGTTAATAACTATATAACAAGAAATAGGTGAAATTAAGTAGTGAACGATAATGTGCTCTTAAATCCTCTCAAGAAAATATTAGAAGATTATAAAGTCCGTCTGTTGGATGACTGTTCTCATATTACAATTACACATATCTCCATTTGCTGACAGTGAATAATATCATATTAATGTAATCTCAGTTCGAAGAAATTGCTTTGTTCCTATGTTCCGAACACTCTATATACGACATATCGAAACGAGGGACGATGAAAACGTGTGGATAGAGAGAGACAAAAGAGGATTTGACAGCACAGATGATATAAGAAAATTGACAGAATGTTTGACAGAATGGAAAATACCACGAGGCTGATATTACATATGTATGTATGTATGTATGTACATATTTTGTATTGGAGATACCGATTGGTTATCGGATGGAGAAAATTTCCGGAATCCCTATCAGGATTCTAGAAATTCTCTATTTAATAGCCAATTGGGAAGTATGCTCGAGAAACTTCATCTATGAATGTAATGTCAGTCTCAAACATCGTATAACCTATAAAAAAAGCCTGTGTTTTTGTTAATTGTTTTTAATTGATTTTACACTGGAACTTAGATTAGATTAATCTGTCTGTGTCACCTCCAATGGTGTTCAATAATATGTATATATTTGTACTACAGGAATGATTCGTATGTATATAAGTAAGTATATAATCCTGGTGGAAATAATTTTTTACTTTTCACGCGAAGATTATGCGAAAACTACAATTTTTTATAATGTAACTACAACTTTTTAGATTATTTCTACGTAATTTTCATATCAAACTACGATTTGGTCCATGTTTGTAGTTTTTCATAAATTTATATAAAAAGTTGTTATTTTCTATAACTACACACACACACACACACACACACATTATAGAGTTTAATTATAATCTACAACTTCTACAACTTACTACATCGCTCGTGAAAATTTTCGTAGAGTTGTAAAAACTTATAAATACTTGTAAATACTTTTTACAATTCACTACTATTTGCTACAACTTACCATAAATTTCTACAATCTCCACAAATTTTTAGAAAGTTGTAATTTGCTTAAAATTAAAATTCAATTTTTTCGTAGAAATATGTAAATTATTATAAAATTATTTCTAGCAGGAAATAACGGAGTCAACTGAAAATGTTTACTACATCTTAAATGACAAATTTATATTTGCAAAAAAATTATTGCTATATATTTTTTTAGATATTCTTTTTATCAACAATATATTGTGGAATTTCATATTTTCTACAAAATTATCAGATATTTTTTTATTGAATTATTTAAATTTAAGCTCTCTCCTATTTTCTCATGCAATTTTTGAATAATATTGTAGGAGGACAACTATATTAAGGTTATACAAAAGAAGATTTAAATCTACACAATAATTATATAAAGTTACTTGTCCTAATTACATCAGGATAATCATATACACACTGGAAAAATTGACGCTTGTAACAATAAGTATTGAATCAAATATTCAGAAAAAGTATGTTGCATATAATTGATTATTATACTTATTTTAGTAAATATTCAATACTTAACACCATTATAAACTTTATTATATATTTTAAAACTTAAAGAAAAAAATTGCTGATGGAAAGCATGTAGGATATATATATCTATCCTCTTTTTATACCTCTCTGTGTGTCATTTAGAATAAATTATTTTAAATTTGTCTTTTTTAACATTTTTAGAATCATGACCCGTAAATGTGCATTGTGTAAAGAAAGCAATTATAAAAGGAACAATTATAGTTTCTTCTCAGCTCCTAAAGATGCAGAAACACGCAGGAAATGGCAAAATGCTCTTGCCATTAAAAATTATACTGTCACAGATGACACATATATATGTAGCAGACATTTTCACAAGAATGATATTATTACACATTGGATCAGTGGAGTACCACCGCAAGTAATAAAGGTGCTTGATGAATACAAAATATATGCAAAGTTAGCAAGTATGCTTAATTAAAAATGGTAGCAAGTACACTTTCGTTAATATTACTGAAGATTGTACCTATTGTTTGTCGCTATAGATTAAATACAAGAAATGTCGATTGCGTCCAGGAGCTGTACCAAGTAGAAATTTCCACTCAGTTAGTAACTTGCAGTCAACAGATAAAGATAGCTTAAATCAACACGAAGTAGATATCAAGAATTTGACATCTAGAGAGGAACAAGCGTCGGAAGAGAGCGAGACCTTTTTGATACCTAGAAGAAAGAAAAGTCTGAGTGACAATGAAGATGCAGAAAATGAAAATACTAATGTGCATTATCACACTTATTCTAAATCACAAGACTATATGTACAACTCGGAAGAAAATGATGATTTGTATATCCAATTATCGAAAAACATGGATAAGGAAGACGATGTTTCTATGTATGATCCAAAATTGAAAAAATTAAAATCCGATATAAAAGAATCAGTTAAAACACTTAGACGTGATAACAGTTTAAATCCAGATTTCGTAGAAGTAGTGACTGAATCTATGAATGCAGATAAAAAAAGGAATCAGATATCTAACAAATTAACTCGCGCGAAAAGGTTTAATCAAACGACGGAATGTAGTATCGAAAGATATGATTCTTCTGAAGAAGATGGAATATCGGTGGAAACTTCGGAGTACGATATCGAGTACGATACCGCGCATTCTTTTTCGAAAGAGAAACCTATAGAGGATAACTTAAGAATGCCTAATGATTTATACATAGATAATCGAGAATTAATTACTTTGGATTATGATTGTTTAGATATGCAGGATAAAGAAGCATTTGATGAAGTCAATGAGAATGAGATATTGTTTGAAGATTTTCTTGAAGTATGCACAGAAGTATCTATACCGCGTGGTTGGTCCTGCTTGGTAACATCGAAAGGACATGGCACGACAGTGGTATATCTTTGTATGGGAATAACGAAGGACGGATTACCTTTTGTGGAGAAACAAGTTTTTATAAGAAGCGATATGGTTTTACATTGCGCTGCAGCTAATAGAGAAATTGATCCGCTTATGCACAATCTCGTGAAAGAAAGGAAACATAGCAAAGTGAAAAACTTACTGGATATAGAAATATTTATCGACGAGTTTGATCAACGAGTCATTTGCCAAGGTAAAATTACAATGCCTTTTTTTTTTTTAGTCTTGACTAAACCATTTTTTTTTTTTTCCGAATAGGCTTAAACGATCCTGAAGATTTTGAAAATGTCGATATAATTGAAATTGCATACAAGGATGGAATCAGATGGAGACACATTTCTTGTCCATTGATTGTAAATAACAACTCGTCGAGATGTACAAAATGCACTACGTTATTACATTTACTAAATAAATCTTAAAGTTTTTATGTATAGGGGATCTCGGGATAAAACATAAGATCAGAATTTCTAGGCAATAATTAAAATAGAATGAAAATTGAGGGGAGATTCCAAAATAACAGGGCGGTTTGGTGATAATTCTCCAGAATAGCAAATTTCTATTATACCCTTAGATTTTCGTTCTTCCGATTATTATACTCGTTAATTGCAAGAGTAATATTCAATATTTTAATATGCTAGTTTAATATAATATTAATCTTCAGAACTTAAATCAAATACATAGCATATGCAGGAATTCCATTCCAGCTATTTTAATAGTATAGAAAAATATCTGATTAATTTTTTCCCAATAAAAATGTTATATCATTAATAACAACTTTCTCTTATTTTGATATCAAAACTTTCCAAAACAAATTAAAATCTGCTAATGTATGCTACTGTATGATCTCCCCTCACCATTTACACACAATCAAGTAAGATATAAAGTATAAAATTTTTGTGTCTTTTTAATTTGGTAAAATTTAATTCATAAAATATATAAATATATTGATATACAAGGTGAGTCTGATAAAAATTTCACCACATTTTTCTCGAAAATTTTACGTCAACTTTTTATCAGACTCACCCTATATATTGACGTCTTAATATTAGGATTTCTTAATTTAATTAAGAAAAATTTGCCAATAAGGATTTATCCTATAAAAGTGGAATATCCTGTATATACTTGTATAACAGACACATCATACATCATTTCAATACATCAATATTTTTCTATAGATAGTATATTGTATGTTTGTACTGTGTGTTTATATATATGTGCATATATGCACATGTATGTACATGGAACAGTATTAATCACAAGAATTTATTTTATTATGAATAATCATACTTCTTTCAATATATACGAAATAAATTATAATTAAAAGATTATATAAAATAAGCTAGATAATTACCTCTATATGTATGAATAATCATATCAGCAATTGATATATTTAATAATTATAACATGAAAATCAAGTAAAAGCCAAATGATAATATAAATATATTGCTTTTTTCTTCTTAAATAAATTATAAACAGGTATGTATGGCAAAACAAAATCTGGCTTAAATATAAGGCAAGAAAAAACTTAAGCAGTATCAATACAAATATTACAAATATAACTGATAAATAATGATGATGATGATGATTAAGGATACAACTTTGACAAAATTCCGATCAACTTAATTGGTGTCATTAATTTAACTGATGGAATTGTCTACAAAATTCATCAAAATTTCGAATTATATTATTCGTTTCTAATCAAATTTTTCATATGTCAAACATAACAAAAAATGAATATTTCCATATATATTAACAAAATACTGCAGATATTATCGATAAATTAATCGGAATTTGATTCAGATGACCCTAAGAAGCATTTTTGGCACATTTAATATCAGTAAGTTAGAATAAAATAGAATAATGTCGAAATATTCACAGAAAGGATGCCAAATGTTACAAATGCCTTTACTCGCAATATCTGAATACTTTAGAATTGTACTTACAAAATTCACACACACATTTTCAATTATTTAAATGAATTATTAGAAACTGTGTGCTAGGCATATGTAGAAATTAATACATATATACAAAATGTCATACAATTATAAGTATCTCATCTAAGGATTCTTCAAGAGAGGCTTGGAGTTTACTTTTTTTAGGGGAAGCTTAATACTTGGCTCTTTTGATTTATATATCAAAAAGAAAAGTGGGATAACTTATCATTAAAATTTAATGTATATGATACAATCTACATATATGCAATATTTGTGATTATACAGAATTTATCATATATATAAGAATGTGCCAAATAGCAAAGAATATTAAATCTCTCTGTCATATCGCACGATAAGGCATCAATGCATGCGCGTATTTCTCCTAATGATATAAACACGCGCAAAAAGTATTACATGATTCTGCTTTAACAGCAAGAAGTAAAATAATTCGAATACACACATGGCGAGAAAAGACGAAACGGATTCGTATTTTTTATTCACCAAATTCTTAAATTACAACTATTAAAACAAGCACTAAAGCATTAATTCATCCTGCACATTCACAGTTTTATCAGCTGGTCATATAATAATTAAGTTTACAGCACTATGCACACAATAAGTAATTATTTACAAAAACTTACATCTCACTATGAGAATCATATGGAAGTTATTTCAGGTTCTAAACATGTCCCTTCAAAATGTTGTAATTTTTGGATAATAATTATATATGCACGAAATAGAACCTTAGTTATGAGAGACCTTGATTTTAAAGACATAAAAATTAAAGTAATCTGAGATGTAAATTTTTATAAATTATCCAATAAAAATTATAAAACTGTTTAAATGTGTAACAATGCTATCTTAAAACATTTAAATTTGATGCATATATAATTTATTTGGCAGAGAGAAGCTTATCTATATAATATATATATATAAAGGATCATAAAACTAATATATTATGACTTCTCTGCTCTTATAACATTCTAAAAACAATCTGTTTTACAATTTGAATGCGAAATAATAACGAAAGTATTATTCGATTTTATGTTTTTGCTGTAAGTGTGTTTGCTTAACTATAATCTGTAACAAAATAATCATCTCTCTCCAAAGCAAAGCACTTTATACATTACATTAAAAACAAGTTACATGATCATTTACAATTTTCTATTGTTTTGCTTGTTAACGTCTTATGACATACAGTGGACAAATGGGCCTATGGATAACTAGGCCCATGAACAACATCATCCTTTATGACAGTCTTTGACTTTGGCATTATTCTAAATGAAGCAACAAATTCTTCCATACTATATTCTCGTAATATATCCCATTCCATTTTACTCACATTTGATACAAACATAAGATATAATAAACGCATACATACGTGTTCTCGTTAATCGACCAACTCTTAAAGCAAGATTAAATCGGAGAAAGCCCATTAGACATTAAGATTAAACAAATTTTTTTCAGGATCTTTTCAAATTATAACATATTTGAATCTGTACATCCATGATACAATTTATGTTCGATATTATCTTAAAGATTCAATGAATAATGAATGTATGAAATCACTATTGGAATACCGGATTACAATATGTATCAATGTTATAGCTAAAATGAAATGAAAGTATGTTCGTGGGCTCAGTTACTGATATTTACTTGGATGATTAATTATCACTCACAATCATTCACTTAAAACGTTGGATTGCTCACCCAATTAGTTCCTAATGATCAAACGATACTACTTGGGGTACTGCTCAAACCGATCGGCTGAGTATTTTCAACTAGTGTGGACCGCATGCTTGACGCTGGAGCTTGAATATCCATTGCTGTTGTTCTCATTTCGCCAAAGGGTGCCCTAAAGTATGGATATCTTCTTAATATTTTTCAAGAATTCTTATTTCTTTCTATTAATATAATACATACATTAATTCTATATTTATTGTTTTACAGGCACATATATAAGTACCATTTTACAAAGAACAGCCAATGTCATTCTACGGCTAGAACAAATTATTATATAAAACATTTATTCTTTTATGAAATCCTAGAATGACATTGACATTTTGCTCTGTTATTATCATGACATTAACAAGAGGATCCCACTCTTACAATATTTTTTAATATTTTTTTAACAGCCATTTTTAGACGAAATTTCTGAAATTATTTAAAGAAAGAAATTTTTGAAATTTCTCACATATTATATGCACAGCTATTATATGCATAACAATTTAAAACATTTAAATTAAAATTCTGTTAAATTATACCTGTTTAAAAAAAGAATCTTTTTTTTTAATTAACCAAAAGATATAATTTTCTTTGTTAACGAGATTTTGTTTATATGTATTCATAATTAGCATTGAAAATTCGTTATTTTCACAATAACTATCATAGAGGTGATACCAGAAATTTTCATTTAGAACAAATATGTTCAAAATTTTCCATATTTTCAAAAAATGAAGTAAAAAGAAAGTTGACACATACACCTATAACTATAATATAAGATGTCTGATGGATTTTTGCCAGCTTATTTTATTAATTGTAATGGAAAAATATCTTAAATATATGAGTCAGCACATGCATTCTTTTCAAGTTGCAAATAAAGAAATGCCAACATCCGAATAAAGCAATATTGAAGAAACATTACTCAACATTGCACCAATATTATAGCAAAATATTAATAAACGTAGTTAGATATTAAATAATGATAGGAATGTAATGTTAGTGTGCACTTATTGCTGAAAGCACAGCATTATAATTAATTGGATATAGTTACACAGAAAGGAATGTATATAATACTTTATTTAATGAGATGCTCATAAAAAGCTAAAACAAACATGCAACATGCTGATTGAATAGATAAACATCAATAATTTAACTCAATATTAAAAGATATTTTGAAACAGTGAGACTTGGAGATATTGCAAATTACTAAGTCTAATTTCTTTAGTAAAAAAAATGTAACATTATTCAAATTTTAAAATAATTTTAAAATTTAATTATATTATTTTCTGTTTTTTAATCTTGATTAATTTTATCTCCCCATTTAGTTATCTAGAAGACATCATTTTGTATAAATTTATCAGATTATCTTCAAACTTCGTTATTTAAAGATATTTTCAATTGTAGAATTAAAGCAGCAATACAATAAAATACGACACAAATGGAAATTTATAATGAAATGTTATAAAGCATTTAGATGCAGTAGTAACATTAAATATTACATATTATTGCCTGGTTAGTGAAGTGGTGCAATGAATATTTGATGATTTATGTAGGCCTCCAGACGTCAGGATCCTCCATGAGAGTAGTATGGTGATCTGTAGTAGGAGGCACTGTACCTTGTGGGGAACCCACACCCGACGTCATTCCT